CGCTCCCCCGCGGCTCTCGGGTTTCTCCCTTCCACCCCGACGCCCGCCCGGCCGGGCTTCTGCACGGAAGCGCTCTCAGGGCCCAGGAGGCAAAAGCGGCAGAAGCGATGTGCCAGCCGGGGTGGAGGGCGCCCCTGGGAGTCCCGCGCACCAGCCCCGGAGCTGCCGCCGCCGCCGCCGCCGCCGCCGCGCAACCCGCGCTCGCGTCCCCCGGGGAGGGCGCCACTGCTCCGCGCGAGTCCCGGGGGCGGCGGATCCCCAGCGGCGGGTGCTTCCCCGGGCCCCGGAGCTCAACCTCTCAAACGCAGCCCTCCATGCCCAGGGCCCCAACCCACCCAGCACCTTCCCCGCTCCTCCGGATCGCAGACATTACATTTTCTGGTCTCTTCCAAATTTAAGCCTTGCTCAGGTCCCCCCAGTATATTCAACATTTCTCCAGGTCACAAGGGTTTTTTTTGGTTTGGTTTGGGTTTTTTTGGACATTAATTTCTGGGGATCTGAAAACGCATAACCCCCACTGGCTTTCCCAGGTTTACACTAGTGGCCTGGGTCCCCAAACTCACTGGGTGTTTTCTCCCAGGCTCTTCACAATTTTATGTACCCCCCAGCCCCACCCCCAGGTTCTGCAGAGCTACACAGTGGCAAACCCTATTCAGGAAGATTTAAACATTAACCCTGGGTCCTGTGGTCAGGCTGACCAATTCGCCTGGCTCCCCAGAATGTGCACAGTGTTTTTCTGGCATTTAGGCATCATTCCCAAACAAGTGGAGCTCTCTTCCTGTGTCCCCGTAATTTTGGACGACAGGGGCTCCCAAGCTTACCACCCCTGTTCTGGGCCCCCCACACTGAAGCCCTGTTCCCCTGGTTCACCAGAGTTAGGGGCATTATCTGCTGAGTTCCACAAATGTATTGGCCTCGCCCTGGGTTCCCTAAATTTTCCACAAAGAATCCTAGGCACCCCCCACCTCCACAACACACTAAGCCATTTCCGCGGGACCCTCAGAGTCTGAACGTTGCTTCCCATACCTCCACCAAAATTTAGCCATTACACCCAAAGCACGCCGATCCCCTTTCTGAATCATAAACAGTCTGCGCTCGGATCTCCTGAGTTCCACAAAATTGAGAGGATGATTTCTGGTCCCCAAAACGCATTGATTTCTGGTCCCCACCTTTTTTTTTTGGTGGGCCGTGAAGATATGGGGCGTTCATTTCCAGGGATCTCCACGCTTCCTTGCCACTTATCAGGTTCCTTAAAATTTAGACACTGTTATCCAGGCCCCGAAAGCACGCGGAGCAATTATCCAAGGTGTGCTCAATTGTGATCGTGGAACAGGCAGATTCCCCCAAAACACAAACCTCCCAGGTCCCCCGGGGTCAAACCACGCACAAAACAAACTCTTTCACAGGGCCTATATCTTGTTATACCAAGCTCTTTTGAGTGTCCCAGTAACCAAATATTCTGAATATTTTCTCCGCCTCATAACATTCTGAATATTAAAAAATTCCCTGGGCCCCACGAGCTTACTGACAAGAATCCAGGTTTTCTAAAACTCAGAACTGATCCCAAATCCCAGGCCAACCAACACTGGACCCTTTCCTCTATTTGGACACGCTGGGCTCTCAACATTAGGCATTGCCCTCCAGGCCCCCCAAACACATTCAGTATTACATTTCTGTCACAGAAAGGCACTGATTTCTTGGGTTCCAAAGCATCCCAGGCACCCACTGAGTCACCCCAAATTTAGTCGACATTTTCTGAGTCTCCCAGACACTGCAAACCCCCTGTAGATAACCAGCTTCAGCCACTGACTCTTCAGGCCCCACCACTTAGGAACTCTGAATCCTTTCCCCCTAAAACTTAGACACTGACCCTCATTTCTCCTGAGGACTTCGAAGAACTTCTTTGGATCCCCAGATTCAAAAATGATTTTTCTGGGGCCTCCAGATTGAGATACTGCCTGCCAGCCCTCCAAAATAAACTGAGATTGTTTCCCCCCCTCCACAAAAGAATTGAACTTTTTTCGAACATTGATTTATGGGTCCCCTGACTTTATGATCCTTGCCCCGAGTCCCCCTAAATTTAGGCAATTTTCCACAGGCCTCCCAAAGTGAAATTGCCCAGATACCGAAAAATATCCCCGGGTCCTGGAAATCCCAGGTATTATAGGCCGCGTCCTGCAAGCTTCCTTGCTACTAACCAGGTTCCCTGAAATTTAGGTACCAATCTCTATTGAACAATTTTCATGGATCCCCCAAACTTGGGCCACGTCTTCCTAGGGTTCCCCAAATGCAGACAGTGCCCAGGAAAATATATTTTTTTCCTGTTCACCAAAAATAAACTAATTGAAACCAATGTAAAAATTAAGATATAAATGGACATTGATTTTCTGCATTCTCCAAATGTCCTGATCACATCGCAGGTTGCCCCGAATTTAGATCGTGTTTCTTGACTCTCTAAAGGACATTGAGAATTTTCTCAAAAGCCACAGCAATTATGGAAGTTACTTTCCTTGGGTGATGCAAGCGTCCAGGCCACTAACTTGAATTTCTAAGTTGTGGAAATGAATCTCCACTCATCTCTACCGCATGGACGATTTGCCTAGATCCCCCAAATGTTTTTCTTCCCCCAGTTTTAGACAGTATGCCTCTGGGGTTCTCCCAAGTTTCACGCTGAGCATTTTCCTCGGGTCATCCCCAAACCTACTTCCCCACAAAGTGGGGCCCCCCACAAGCTTGCTGACCCAGATGCTGGGGTCCCCACATTTTAGACGCGGCTCCCTTGTCCCCCGGTTGCAGGGAGAAATTCCCCCGGTCCTCAGACTCGGACTCTCTTTCTGGAGTCTCGAATTTAGTCGTGAATCGCAGTTCCCCACACCGACGCAACCTCCCTTGGGTCCCCACTTCGGGACACGTTCTCTCGCCCGCAAATCAGGCGGCTCTGACTTGCGTTCCCGGCCTTTGGGCATTGTTCCCGGCCCCGCCGCGGTCTCTGCAGCTTCCCCAATCCCGCGTACCACGGGCACTGGTTCTGGGCCTCTCTGCGTCTCCTACGAAGTCCCCGGAGCTCCTCGGAGTTGGAAAATTTCTCTTGTGTTCCCCAAACACACTTGGCCCAGCAGCGTGTCCTCCAGGACGCAGGCAGGGCTTCTCCCGCGTCCAGGAAAATGACTGGGCATTGCCCCCAGTTTCCCCCAAATTTGGGCATTGTCCCCGGGTCTTCCAACGGACTGGGCGTTGCCCCCGGACACTGGGGACTGCCCCCGGGGTCTCGCTCACCTTCAGCGCGTCCACCGCCCCGTTGCAGAGCGCTCGCTCTCTGCCTCGGCTCCTAGCGCGCCCGCGGACGCAGCCTCCGGCCTCCAGCCTCGCGGTGAGCTCCCCGCCGCCTCGCGTCCCGGCCCGGCTCCCAAACCCACCCGCCGCCGTCGCGCCGTCCCGAGCGGCTGCCGGGGACACCGGCGCGGGGCGCGGGAGCCTGCGGCGGGCTAGCCCCTCGGCGGCCGCGCTCGCTAGGCCGGGCGCCCTGAAACCCGCGCCGCTTTCGTTTGCTCTCTGCAAAGATCACGGTCGTGGGGAAAGCGCCTCGGCGGCCCCCCAGCGGGGCAGGCAGGGCGCAGGGTAGGAGAGACGCGGAGGACAGGCGCAGCCGGCTCGGGCGGCGCGGCGCCGCCAGCCGCCGGGCGGAGGACTCCGGGAGGCGCGCGCCGAGCGCGGGCGACGTGATTGATGGCGGAGCGAGGGGGCGAGCCGGGCGCGGGCTTCCGCCGCCGGCGGCCCCTTCCCCTCGGAGGGGCGCGGGCTGCCGGGGCTCCTGGGGGCGGGCGGGGCGCGGGGGCTCGTGCGTGGTTTTTGACTTGGTAAAAGTCACAACGACTTCTTACATCGTCCAAACTCTCCAGGAGATGGTTTCCCCAGACCCCCAAATTATCGCGGTGGCCCCTGGGGCTGAACCCGAGTCTACGCAAGTCCAACGCACTGAGGACGGGGGAACTATTATCCGGATATTTTGGGTGGGCCCCAAAGGCGAGCTGCTTAGATGCACCCCGGTGAGTCCGGTCATGCAGGTAGGATTTGAGTGATGTTTCCCGCCCTGCTCGTATCTCTCCCGGCAGGCGCAGCCCGGGCCGGCCCCATGCCTGGCCCAGATTCGGTCCTGGCCCGGCCGGCCCTCCCCACGTAGCGCACCTGGCGGCCGCCGAGGCTAATCCCCGGTTCCCGCGCGGCACCGGGGGGCGCTCGGGCTCCGGCTGCGGCCCGAGGGGTTGCGCCTGCTCGGGCAGGTGGCGGCTGCGCGCCCCGCCCGCGCCCAGGGACCCCCCACTTCCCCTTGCACACCCCAGCGGCACTCGGGGACCCCCGACCCAGTGTCGAGCCACCTGCGCCCGCATTCCGACAGGGCACCCTCGCCGCGTAGCCCCCTGGCCGGGCGCGGGGACCCGGCCGTCGCTAGGGCGTGTGACGCCGCCCACCCTGGTCGCCCCGCGTCCCTCGTGCACTGATGCGGGGACCTTGGCACCCCGGAACCTAAGACGGGGCCCCCAAACACTTTAGAATGGCGATTCGGGATTTCTTTCGAACTCTGCCGATCCCTGCCCCCAATCCAATCTCGCCCCCGCGCACCCCACAGCACCCCCCCACACGACCGCCGCCCCCCGGGACCCCAAGCCCGCCCCCCGCCCTTGGCTCGAGTTGCGAGGGCGGTCCGGGGGCGGGGCGAGGG